TGGACAGGTAGGTTAGAAAACTGAGGTCAAAGAACATTGTATCAGTAAAGGTTCAGTGGCGGGGTCAGCCGGTTGAGGAGGCGACCTGGGAGACCGAGCAGGTTATGAGCAGCCATTACCCTTATTTTTTCACTACTTTAGGTATACTCTATGCTCGTTCGAGGACGAACGGATGTTTAAGTGTAGGAGGATGTGACGACCCGACCAGTCGTCTTAAGAATTAACACCCTGATCCCCTATTAACTACTTTCCCCAAGTTTACTTCTGCTATTTTGATTTGCCGGAATGTTCGGTTTTGAGTTTCGAAGAGTTTTGGAATACTTAGTCCCTAAATGAGAGCTTAAGTATTGGGAAGTTGACCATAGTCGGAACAATGTGAAGACGGCCTCGGAATAGAAATCTGATGATTCTGTTAGCTCCGTTAGGTGATTTTGGGCTTAAGAGCGGGTTCAGATGGTGTTTTGGAGGTCTGTAGCTAATTTAGGCTTGAAATGCCGAAAGTTAAATTTTTGAAGTTTCCGGTCCGATAGTGAGATTTTGATCTGAGGGTCGGAATGGAATTCCAAGAGTTATAGTAGTTCCGTTATGTCATTCGGGATGTGTGTGCGAAATTTTAGGTCATTCGGATGAGGTTTGATAGACTTTTTGATCGAAAGCGTATTTTGAGAAATTTGGAGTTCTTAGACTTAAATCCATGGTTAATTCGAGGTTTCGATGTTGTTTTAGGTGTTTTAAAGATTGGTACAAGTTTAAATAAGGTTTTAGGATATATTGATGCCTTTGGTTGAGGTCCCGGTGGCCTCGGGGTGATTTCGGATGGTTAATGAGAAGTTGAGGAAATGTTGCAGCTGCTATATTTTTGCTGCTTCTGGTATTTTCGCATCTGCGATTTGCGGACCGCAGATGCGGCGCCGCAGAAGCGGCAAAGGAGACCGCAGAAGAGAATTTTGGTCCTTTCTTCAGGTTCCGCAGAAGCGGTAGCGCATTAGCGAAAGGGTGATCGCAGATGCGGTTTCTGGTCATTTAATGAAAGTCGTAGATGCGACGTAGTTTCCTCAAGGCCGCAAATGCGGAAATCGCTGGGCAGAACATATAAATAGTTGCCTTCGCGAATTTGAGGGATTCTTTCACCATTTTCATTCGCGTTTGAAGCTTTTAAGAGAGATTTTTGAGGAAAACAAAGGAGAATCACTTGGAGGTAATATCATTGACTTCATAACTCGTTTCTATGTGATTACAGACCTAATTAGTGATGAAACATTTGGGAAAAATGAGTAATTAGGGCTTGAGTTTAAGAGACCTTTAAATGAGGATTTGAGGGGTCATTGGACTCCGAATTCAGTGTTCTTGTTATGTACAGACTCGTGAGAGTATGAGATTTTTGAAAATATAAATTTCACCCAATTCCGAGACGTGGTCCCGAGGAGCATTTTGGTCATTTTATATAATTTCGCGTATTAGCTTAGAAAAATGGGTAATTAGAGCTTGAGTTTAAGAGACCTTTAAATGAGGATTTGAGGGGTCATAGGACTCCGAATTTAGTGTTCTTATTATGTATAGACTCGTGAGAGTACGAGGTTTCTGAAAATGTAAATTTCACCCGATTCCGAGACGTGGGCCCGAGGGGCATTTTGGTCATTTTATATAATTTCGCGTATTAGCTTAGAATTTAATTGTAGAATCAGTTACTTTAAGTGTTATTTACATTATACGATTGAATTGAATAGATTTAGGCCATTTAGAGTTGAGTACTCATGGCAAGAGCGTGGTTTCGGGTTGACTTTGAGCTGGTTCGAGGTAAGTGGCTTGTCTAACCTTGTGCGGGGGACCTTTCCCATAGGATATGATATATTTGGTAATGGAAATGCCTTGTACGTGAGGTGACGAGTGCGTACTTGAGCTAATTGTTGAAAATTTGGTTTTACTTTAAGTATTTCAATTGAGTTCCTTTTTCCTGTTTTATTCTACTTGCGAATTTAGCCTGTTGTAGTTTAGAAAAACATGTTTAGTTGATTTAATTGCATATTTGCTTAAACTTCCTTAATTGCATTACGTGAAGCATGTTAGGCTAGAATTAACTATTTACTTGGTATGAAATTTGCATTTAATTGAGTATTCTTGTGTTGCTTCTATGTGTTTTTAATTTAGGACTACAGGACGGCATCCCGGGAGATCCCCTGTACGTATTTATGATCTGGACTGAGGTGCGGGATACCAAGAGATCCCTGGAACGTATATTGACGATACCAAGAGATCTCTAGCATATATTGAGGATACCAAGAGATCCTCGGAATACCAAGAGATCCCTAGCATATATAGAGGATACCGAGAGGTCCTCGGGATACTAAAAGATCTCTAGCATATATTGAGGATACCGAGAGATTCTCGGGATACTAAGAGATCCCTAGCATATATTGAGGATACCGAGAGATTCT